AGAATCAGAATGTCTCTGTCTAGCAGCCCTCAGCAGAGGGACACCAGAGTTTACTCTCCCAGGAGTCTTTTCTAAGTTGATATTATCATCATCATCATCATCATATGCCGTGTGCCTATCTGAATTTGGGTGCATCGCACTGTGTAGGAGCCCTCAAAGACCAGAAGAGGGCACCAAAGCCCTTGGAGCTGGAGTGCAGACAGTTGTGAGTGGTCATGCAGTGCTGAGACCTGAACCCCAGTCCTCTGCACTCTTAACCACCAAGCCATTTCTGCATCTCCTGGGAGTTTCCTCTACTCCAAAGGCATCTTTGGAATGGCAAATGGACCACAGTGCATTTCAACGTGGGTCTCCTTCATTTTCTCCTGCCTGGCACCTGCTCAGCCATTCTTCAGGTCTTTCATCAGATTTAGGAAATTCAGCAAGAGCCATTTGCCTCTGCCTTCTGAGTACAAGGATCAAAGACGTGCACCACCGGACCCAGCTGACCCCGCTGCCCTCTTTCTCTTTCCCTGGGATCTGCTTTGTAACTCAGTACCCTTGATTGTATCCCATCATGGCCTCATGTTGCATTTTCTTATCATTGTTTGTCTTTCTACTCTTCAGATCAGATAATTTTAGTGTCTTTTTTGTTTCGTTTTGGTTTTGGTTTTTTTGGGGGGGGTTGTTTTTGTTCTTGTTTTGTTTTTTGTTTTTTCGAGACAGGGTTTCTTTGTGGCTTTCGAGGCTGTCCTGAAACTAGCTCTTGTAGACCAGGCTGGTCTCAAACTCACAGAGATCCGCCTGCCTTTGCCTCCCGAGTGCTGGGATTAAAGGCGTGCACCACCAACGCCCAGCAATTTTAGTGTCGTATCTACAAGTTTGTTGACCCAATTTCTGTCTATCTAGAATGGCTGGTGAACACTTCTAGAGAGTTTTCATTTCTATTATATTATTTTTTAACTTCACAACTTTCCTAAGGCTCCTTTCTCTTTCTTTCTCCTTCCCTCCCTCCCCACCCAACTGTTTTTTTGAGACAGGGTCTTATTTTTTGGCATAGGGCTGGAACTTTCACACACACACACACACACACACACACACACACACCCTGTGTCCCACCCCATCCACTAACCCCAGCCTTGGCCCCCAAGATAGGGTTACAGGCATGAAATGGTGGTTTGCATCCGTCTTCACTGATATTCTCATTCTGTTCATGCACTGCTCTTCTAGTTTTCTTCTCTCTGGGTGGTTTCCTTTATTCATTCAACCTACTGAAGCCACCTCTAGGTTAACAACTCTAATGGTCTCAGTGTGCAGGGAATGGATCTGTCAAATTCCCTTTTCCTGTGAATGAACATGCAGGCCTGTTTCTTTGTATGCTTTGTAATTTGATGTTTAAGGTGAACTTTTTTTTTTTTTTTTTTGGTTTTTTGAGACAGGGTTTCTCTGTTTTGGAAGCTATCCTAGAACTAGCTCTTATAGACTAGGCTGGTCTCGAACTCGCAAAGATCCGCCTTCCTCTGCCTCCCGAGTGCTGGGATTAAAGGCATGTGCCACCAACGCCCGGCTTAAGCTGAACTTTTGAGGGACCATAACTCTTGAAATCTAATCCTCCTAATTTCCAGGAACCGCTGGTCCCTGCTTGCTTATTAAGGGGTAAAACCACCCGTCAGCAATTTTGTCAAACTATTGTATTGTGAATTCCTAAGTGTGGGTGACAGGTCCTGTCCCTGTTTCACAATCTCTGAGATCAGCCAGTGCCTGACCAAGATGTCCTTAAGTTTCTATCTCCCAAAAGAAGAGAAAAAAGTCTTATTTTTGTTTATGTGTGTGTGAGTGCAGGCACACCTGTAGCCAGCACAAGTGTGGGGTCAGAGGGTAACTCTGTGGAGTCAGATCTCCTACTTTTACACTGGTTCTGGCACTGAAAAACAGTCGCCACACTTGTGTTGCATGCATTTTTAACTGTGAGCCATTTTGCCTACCCTATACAGTCTATTCCTCTTTCTTTAACATTTGTAGTGAGTGTGTCTGTGTGTGCATGTGAGTGCAGGTGCCCACAGAGGCCCGAAGATGTGGACCCCCATGGAGTTGGAGTTACAGATGGTCGTGATCTACCTGATATGGATACTGGGAATCAAACTCTGGTCCTCTGAAATAGCAGTGCCTACTCTTAATTGCTGAGCCGTCCATCTTGCCTCCCTCACCTTTGTAAACTCCTCAGCAGAGTAGTTTGGAAGCCTCTGCAGCCTGGAGAGATTTACAATAGAGTACTCATGTTGTCCCAGCCCTCCAATAATCTAAAGCAACAATCAGACCAAAGCATAACCCCGAATCACGCCTACCTCTTCTTCAAGCTCTATAGGAATCCCAAACAGCTGCTTAAGACATTTCTCTAAATTATAATGGTATAGTCCATACCGTATAGTGGGGGTGACAATACTCCAGCTACAAATGATATGCTACAAGGTAAAACCCTCAGTATGGGAATGAGTTACATCTTTTGACTTCTTGGCCCATAGACTTCCCCCAAACATCACAGGCCACTGGCAATGCTGTTGGTTACCCTCTTCAGCCTGGTGGTACGACCATATTACTAAAGACACCACATCCAGCTATTGCTCAACTAGAAGCTTCACCCCTGCTACTAGCTGACATTCCTAGTGTTGGAAGGTGTTATACACCCTACCAGAGCAGAAAAGTAATCATGAATCATACCCATCTATGAAGCCTGCAAGCTACAATAATGACCTGCCTTCGAGTTATACCTTTGATGCAATATTGGCAAAATGTTATAGGAGTAACCAACCACTTTTTAGTGGGTTTAAGACCCACTCCATAGGATGCAACTCATATTTGACACTGCAAATGAGTCCAAGAACCTGAGACTAAATAGGTCATGCCCTAGAGCAGTGGTTCTCAACCTGTGGGTCACAACCCCTGGAGTCTGAATAGCTCTTACAGAGGGGTCACTTAAGACCATTGGAAAAACGGTCTGGAGAGATGGCTTAGAGGTTAAGAGCACTGGCTAGTCTTCCAGAGGTCCTGAGTTCAATTCCCAGCAACTACATGGTGGATCACAACTATCTGTAATGAGATCTGGTGCCCTCTTCTGGCCTGCAGGGATACATGCAGGCAGAACACAGTATTTATAATAAACAAATAAATAAAAAAGAAGACCATCAGAAAACACAGATATTTACGTTACAGTTCATAACAGTTGCAAAATTATAGTTATGAAGTAGCAACAAAAGTAATTTTATGGTTGGGGTCACCACACCATACCATGAGGAACTGAATGAAAAGGTTAGGAAGGTTGGCATTAGGAAGGTTGAGAACCACTGCCCTAGAGGAAACCTACTACTATTCTTCTGCTAAATGAGCATAGCAATAAAATGGCTCCTACTGCTATATTATAGCTATACACCTAGACCAGTGCAGCATCCAACCCTCACCAGGGAAGCTGCTGCTTTTTTAATTTCAAGAATTTATTTATTTTTAATATATGTGTATGAGTATTTTTGCTGGCTTGAATGTCTGTGCACCTTGTGCAGTTCTGGTACCCTCAGAGGCCAGAAAAGAGTGCTGGATATTCTGGGGCTAGAGTTAGACGTTTGTGAGCCACCAGGTGGCACTGGAATCAAACCAAGGTCCTCTGGTAGAGCACCCACTGCTCTCAATTGCTGAGCCGCCTATCCAGCCCAAGAAGCTGCCTCTTGCAATAGATGACAATAAACACAGAAACCCACAACCTGACAATGAAAGACTTTGGAGCACTCAGATGTAAATGGGGTGTCTTTATCAAACCTGCCCCCCCCCCAAAAAAAACCTCAGGGATCTCTGCAGAGAAGGAGAAGGAAAGATTACAGGTATGATGCCCTTGTGAACTCAGATTGTGATCAGATATTCAAGACATGGACAAGTTCAAACCAGACAAAACCCCAGCCCAGAGAAATGGAAATCAATGTAAAGTCCCACCCCTAACTAAGAAGCTATTCGCAACTGATAGCTACTCAGAAAGGGAAATCAGTTTTCTTTAATAGAGTGGCACTGGGTATATCAACCACACTACAGAGCAGGCCCCATTCTCAGGCACAGTTGGCCAACATGAAATGGGCTCATGTTTATCAAGTGTGTGTGTGTGTGTGTGTGTGTGTGTGTGTGTGTAAGAGAAAGAAAGAACATAAAGAAGTTGGGTGGATAGGAAGGTGGAATCTAGAGGAGCTAGGAAAGGGAAAAAATATAGTCAAAATATATTGTATGGAAAATTTAAAAATAAAAAATAACATCCACATTATAACATTGTTAGTATACTAGTTAATATAAATGCTAAAGATTGAATAGGTTCATATAATTGAAGTGAGATTTTATTTTTATATGTCAAACTTTATGCTTTCAAAGAAATATTTATATTGATAAAAATAAATAAGACCTAGCCAGGCAGTGGTGGCACATACCTTGAGTCCCAGCACTTGAGAGGCAGAGGCAGGCAGATCTCTGTGAGTTCCAGACCAGCCTGGCCTACAGAGCTAGTTCTAGGACAGCCAAGGCCACATAGAGAAATCTTGTCACAAATAAAACAAAAAAACAAAAACAAACAAACAAAAAAAAAAAACCAAGAGCTTCTAAAAGAGAAAAGAAAAAAGACAGTTCTTGCCACCTCTGCTTTCAGAGTAGAACAATGTGGCGGCACTTTCAAAACTAATGTGAAGGTCTTCCCACACACACAAGCACTTAGGCAGGTAGGCCTGGTACAATCTCCCAGGCTATTCTTACACTAACATACCCTGCTCCCACCATATGGCACCCTCTGAGAAGCAGGGTCCTTTCCCAGTGTTTGCATTCTGCTTTCTGCTGGTTTTCTTGGGACTGTAGCAGGGGAACTGATTTTAACCACAAGGCAACAAACATGCTTACCTTCCCTTGCAGCAGTAGGAATGAGTTACCTAAGAGACAGCCAAGGACAAGCAGGAGACTTCTTCAAATACTACCTAAAGTTTTCACAGGAGGAGGTGACTTACCAAATATCTTAGCCAAATGTTCCTCTTGCTTAGGTGACCTTGAGGCAAATTCAGAATTGTTGAAGCTGTATGGGCTGGGATGAGCTGTGGGGAAACAAACTTTAGCTGTGCTTAAATCTTTCCTCAAATCTACACCTAGTCTCTCTGAAGCCCCACTCCTTTACAAGGTACTTCGAGGGGAACAGTTCTGTAACTGGTGTCTTAGTCACTTTCTCATCGCTGTGGAAAAATTACTTTGGCAAAATCAACTTAAGAGTGAAAGGATTAATACTGGCTTGTACCTCTAATAGGATACAGCCTGTTACAGTGCAGAAGACACAGAGGCAGGAGCAGGATGCTAGCTGGAGACATCACACTCATACTTAGCAATCAAACAGAGATGCTTTGTAATTGTATTGCTCAACTAGCTCTCTCCATCTTATACAGTCCAGCATCCCCAGCCCAGGGAATGGTCCCACCCACATCAATTAATATATTCAAGATAAACCCTCACAGGCATGCCCAAAGGTCCAACTCTTAGAAGTAACCATCCCAGTTGCCCTGTGTTCTCTTTGTCAAAGTGGCACAGGATAGCTACGAAGTATCTGCAAGTATCTAAGGTTTGAGCCTACAAGATGGTTCAGCAGGTCAAAGCACAGTTGGGCAATCCCTGGGACCCACATGGAAGGAGGGGACCAACTCCTGAAAGTTGTCCTCTGAATTCCACACGCACACCATAGCTAGTACACACACACACACACACACACACACACACACACACACACACACCAAACAAACATGTGTAGAAACACTTTTAAACAGAGGAGTCTAAAACTCCACCACAGAGCCTAGCAGAGGTCATTTCCCACGGTTTCCTGACAGACAATATGCATAGCCACTGAGTGATCTGTGTGCACACGCTGGCTCTGCTGGCGCTACTGGCTCTAACTATAGAAGAAAACTGGTAGAAGAGCCTGGGTGGTGGGTGCCAGATGACATCAAGCAGGGCTGTTTGAGCCAATAAATGACAAAGGCACAGTTCTCTATTAATGAGACCTGGGAGAGTCGTTAGGACCAAATACATCTAATCCTTAAGCTTTTTGCTGAAAACATGTCACATTGTATCAACTAAGGGAACATAATAAAATCTGCTGCAGGCAAGCTAGCAGGACTGCGAAGCAAAAGTACTTGTGTGTGTCTTTATTGAGTGGCCATTGAGAAATGCATTGGCCGGGTCATTAGTTACAAAACTGCTTTACTTATAGTGTAATTTCAACACAACACATGTTTCTGGCTTCATTTTGATAAGTAATGACCCATTTTCAATCTCCCTCTTAATGAGGGAGGGCCTTCTCTGTTATTTCCATGATTTAGGGCTAATGTGCACGGGGTTTTTTTTTGTTTTGTTTTGTTTTGTTTTGCATTGCTTTGTTTTGCATATGTGGCCAGCTGTTTTCTCTTAACTTTAGCATCTGAAAACGAGTGTTAATGGAGAAATCAGCTGTGCTGCTCTGGCCAAATAGTTTACAAAGGCTAAGGCAGGGATGAGGTGACGAGGGAGTGTGTGAGAAGGCTTTGCACCCCAGACTTGGGCATTCCTGGGCAGTAAGCTATAAAGTGTGGATGAGAAGAAAGTTATAACACTATGCCTAGCGTGTGTTACCAGGAACACTGAGCCATGCTGAAAATTAGATTCCCATCCTTTGTACAATATCCACGGTGACAGGGCCTTCGTGACTCTGCACAACAGGGATCACAGTAGGAGGAGGGAGAGGAGGAGGGAGAAGAGAGAGAGGAGGAGGAGGAGGGAGGGGGGAGAAGAAGGAGGAGGAGGAAAGGAAGAGGAGGAGGCACAGACACACTTTACAGCACACACCCCATAGATTTCTGGTTGTGAGCCTAGCCTTTAACAGCTGAGCCATCGCTTCAGCCCATATACACCCCATAGATAATGAAAGCCACAGTGACGGTTTCTGATTTCTCTGTCTTCACATCTCAGCTTGGTAGTGCCCCACCAATAGCTGGGTCCTGGGATGCTCAAGTCACAGCACATCCAATACAACACAGCCTATGAAAACACACGCACTCTGAATCCATGGACAGATACTTGCTTTCATTCACGTCACTCCAGGTGATCAGTCTGCCAGCCGTACTTGTATCTTTTGATACGTCATCTAGATTTCTGGGAAACACCTGCAGCAGGATCTCATCTGAAGAGAAGCAAGCAAAATCTTTAACACCAGCAATACATCAGGTATATCCTGCTCTGTACCTACCTGGTGTGTTCATGGATTCGTGAATGGGTGACTCAAACTCAGTGGACGCGGGATGCTCCGCTAAGATGCCATCACACCCGCAAAATCAGGACTGCACCAGATATCCCAGGCAGAGAGGGCATCACCCACCAAGCGCAGATAGCTAGAAACTCTGCCCCACGTCTCAGTTTTCCTCCTAGTTCCTGGTGTCATTCCGACCTACCTCTGAGACTGTTCCCAAGCTGCTCTGTGTACAAGCAAAAATGCTTTCTTATCTCTACAAGACACACATCGTTTCTTCATTTGAGGCCTTATTGCCTCTCCTGGTGTTAGGTCAAGGGCCTAACACCCTAGCTGGTTAAAGATGCTAGCTACTCTAAGAGGCCAGATCCCACAACCTGAAGAAAAGGCCACTCTTTGTCAACCCCCTAAAACCTCACTCTTCCCAGATCTACCCTGGGATGAAAAGTTAAGAAGCTATCTTGTCCCAAGCTGTGTTGTGGTTTTCACAGCTCCTGATGAATGGTTCAACCCAGTACCTAGTTCCTCCATGCTCCCTGTCAGGTAGGCTATACCAAGACTAAGTCGCATGGGTAGAACTTCCTACCACACATGCCCATACACTGAAATGATAGAAAAGCAAGATTTTCTTATTGAAGGGATTTCTCTTAAGACTCTCTTCTTTGGGCTTCCCCATCATCCTGTCATAACGACTTTCTTTCTCTTATTTTAAGCTATCCCCCTGTTGTGGTTTCAGTGAGCAATGACTCCCACAGGCTTGTGTGTTTGATGGTCTCAATTAGCGGGGCTGTTTGGGGAGATTACAGAAACAGTGGTTCTCAGCTTTCCTAATGCTGCGACCCTTTAATACAGTTCTTCATGCTGTGGTGATCCCCAACCATAAAATTATGTTCATTCCTACTTCATAACTGTACTTTTGCGACATTATAAGTCATAATGCAAATATTTTTGAGAACCACTGCTTTAGGAGGTAGAGCCTTGCTAAGGGAAGTACATGACTGGGGACAGGTTTTGAGGGCTTATAACTTCACCCCACTTTCTAGTAAATCGTGTGTGTGTGTGTGTGTGTGTGTGTGTGTGTGTGTGTGTGTGTGTGCCCACGTGCGTGCGTGCGTGTGTGTGTGTGTGTGTGTGTGTGTGTGTAGTGTGTGTGTGTATGTGTGTGTAGTGTGTGTGTTTGTGTGTGTGTGTGTTTGTGTGTGGGTGTTTGTGTGTGTGTGTGTTTGTGTGTGTGTGTTTGTGTGTGTGTGTGTGGTGTGTGTGTGTATGTGTATGTGTGTTTGTGTGTGTGTGTATGTGTATGTTTGTGTGTGTGTGCGTGCGTGTGTGTGTGTGTGTGTGTTTGTGTGTGTGT